AGCCCGTTGGATGAACCTGCTTTGTTACAAGCAGTGTTGTGCACAAAGTTGCGAGGTCAGGCTTTGTTAGATTTTGAGACAAAGAATATCTGCAACTTCCGACAGTTAAAAGAGGAAGTTGAAAACACTTATGCTGCAAAGAAGAGTGTTACTCAGTTGCAGATAGATTTCAACACGTTAAGGCAAAAGAATGGTGAAAGTGCGCAAACGTACGGCCAACGTGTAAATTAGATCGCCATGGAATTGTATGGGGCCATGGTGGAAGGTAGAGGACACTCCGTTAAAGAAAAACGGATAATTATAACCACGATCAAAGAGCAAGCGTTACAGCAATTCCAAATAGGATTAAAGAGCAAAATTAGGGTAATAATTCGCTCACGAAATTATGGAACTCTACAGGAGGCCATAAATGCGGCCAGCTCAGAGGAAAAAGTGACGACACCTCATAGCGGGCAAGTAAAAAGTCAGAATCCGCAAAATAATAGAAAGTATAATAAAGACACGTATTTTAAGTGCGGAAAACACGGACATTTCGGTCGAGATTGCCGAGTCAGCAAGGTGTCGTTGCCAAAAGCAGGCGGCAGAATAAATGCCGTTGAAAAATATTGCAATTATTGCAAGAGAACAGGACATATCAAGGAAAATTGCTGGTCACTGAATGGCAGGAAAAACAAAGAAGGAGCTGCCAAAGCCATACGTGCGGCAAAAGATAAGAAAAAGAGAAGCCGAAGTGACAGTAGCAAATCGTCCAGTAGTGACGAAGAAGAAGAAGAAGATGAAAGAAAAAGAAGATCTGTGTCAGTGGCGGAACTTCTAACTATAGAAGTAAAGGCAGTACAAGCAGAATTAGTCTTGGTAATAGTGCCGATAAAAGAAGCAAAAAAGAGCCAAGCAGACATGCTTTATGACACCGGAGCTACAATGACACTAGTTAAGAAAAAATATTTAAAGGAGAAAACACCGGCGGAAAAAACGCGATTGGAACTAACCGGAGTAACGGGGCATAAGGCAAGCGTGATCGGCAAGGTGAAAGCTACTATACAGCTGGGAAATAAAGAAATCAAGCATACAGTATATGTAGTAAGGGACGACTTCCCTATTAATTACCCAGGCATATTAGGTAACGACTTTTTAAAAAAGTACAATGCAGTGCATGATTATAAAAAGAGAAGACTTATGATAGGGAAAGAATCCATGGCATTGCATCCGTATCACGTTACAGCCGAGAAGCAAAATGATAGGGCGAGCTAAGACAAACTACATTCAAGCAGGAATCGTAGAAATAAGTGAAAGGCAATCCAAAGAATTTGTAGGGCATTTTTCAGTACGGCCAGAAAAATGTCTGTGCCCTGAAGATCCAGTGAATGCTACAGAAAAAGTAGCAGGAATCAAAACTCTGCGCGTGAAAATGGAGAAACTGGCAAAACGAAGTAAAGTAGAAAATAGAATAAGAAATAAAAGCGCAGTAAAGGCGGAAGAAACACGTCTCAAGAGAGTTAAAAAGACGTCACATAAGCAACATTCAAAAAAACACGAACGTTATGCAAAGTTATCAATTGCCTTAACTAAATCACCGTCAACGCAATATAATTTAGAAAAATACGCACAAAANTTAAAAGAGAGATTGCGGGCAACAAATCGAGTAGCAAGAGACAATCTGCGCAAAAAAACCAAGCAAACAAGGCCAGCAACTTTTAAAATTGGCAATAAGGTCTTGCTTTACGACGAGACATTGAGAAGAGAAAGGTCAAAGAAACTGGAATCACTATGGGTTGGATCGTACGAAATAGTGGCAAAAGTTTCAGATGTCACGTATACGATAAAAGCGAGAAGACGCACACAGAATGTGCATGTTAATAGGCTAAAGGCCTTTATAAAAAATTAGAAAAAAAAAGTACTTACCAAACCACTTCACTCCGAGTCAGAAATGGTTACGACGGAGGGGTCAGGCGACAAGAGGGGACCCAGGCACACCACATCAGGGTCCCAGTCGAAAAAGGCCCGGAATACACCTGGTGGCGGAGTACGCGATGACTCTGGATCTGGAGAGGCCGAAGAGTAATCTTCCGGCTTTAAAGTTACTTCGTCCTCAGACTCGTTCGGTGACAGGACGGGCGGCTCCGGCAATGCAGGATCGTGGTTGTCAGTAGTTTCCGCGATATCCCGAGGTACGATGACAGTGGCCGCACTCGTCATACTGACCCGCAAGTCAGTGTCACTATCACCATCACTCACAATTTCACAGAAGTTGGTCCAGTCTTCACCTTCAAATTGAAGACCGAGCCAACAAGTAACACAGAGGGACCCGGATGGTCGACCCGCGCATCCGCATCGACTACATGGAGGTGCCATTGTTAAAATGTGTATAGTAACAAAAATTAATAAAAATTTTTCTCCGTTGTTCGCAAAGACTGGCGAGGAACTAACTCGGTGGTGAAGTGTAAAATTTCGAAAATCCGTTCCGAAAGAAAGGGGGAAATAGAGAAATTCGCGGTTTAGCATAAATTTGACACCAGAAATTAAAATTAAACTCGAATGAAATCGTAGTCGAGTCAGGTTACTCCGCGACTAAAGTGAAATATGTATAGGCAACACAGCGTAGGAATACGGCGTTGCAGGAAATAATGTGAATGTTATCTTACAGGATAAAAATTTTACTGTTTAAAATTGCCGTATGTAATGCGTGGGATGGGACCGAAGGACAAGAATTCAGGATTCAAAGGTTCCAACATAACCCTGGGATATATTTCGAGAAACAGGGCGAGATATACCGTTCTTCCAAGGAATGGAAGCTCGCAATAAGGCTAAATGTAACTTCTATATATAGTAGGTTAAAACAGTTGCAAGAAATGTTGGATAAATCCGGAGACTTATGCGACAATGAAAAAGTATTAAGTAAAAATAAAGAGTTTTGTGACAGTTTTTCTTACGAGTTATGGTACAGGGAAATCAAGGTCACTACATTAGTAAACAAGATAAAAATGATAGTAGGAACACCGACGCGCAATTGGAGGGGATTAGTGAACGCAGTCGGTTTCGTAGCCAAGGTGTTATTTGGTACCATGGATGCAGAAGACGAGAAAGTGATCTCGGAGCAACTGCAATTGATAGGAAGTAATCAGGCCGTGTTGCAGCATACTGTAAAAACTCAGTTACAGATAGTTAATGCCACAATTGCTCACGTAGACGATGTAGAAAACAGTATAGAAAGAAATGAGAAAAGGCTGCGTGAAGCAGTGGAAAAAATAACTCAGAAAGTTGATGACTATGCGCAACAGCAGGAACTGAGGGACTATTTCCTTGAGCTGGGCAGTTTACTATCAGAGATGGAACTCGATGCCGAGGGAATAATTGAGTACGTTATCGATGTGCACACTAAATTTGCAAAGGTAGAAGTGGTGCCACTAGAACAAATTATACATAGCCTGAAGGAAGCAAACAATCAGTTCATGCGGGACCTGCGTTTTCCTTTTGCTGTGACTCTAGAAANCTGGTTAGAAATTAAAAGGTTTGTCACGGTTAGTGTCTACTGCAAAGACTCAAATATATTTACAGTTGTTAAGTTTCCATTAATCAGTCCCGGTAGTTACAACGTGTATAGGGTAATGCTCTTACCGGTACATAAACGGGACAACGTATTCACGGCAATACAAGTCAAGCATCCAATAGTAGCAATAGACACAAACCGTCAAACGTACTCTATACTTAGTGAAACCCAGTGGAGTAGTTGTATAAGCGTTCAAGACCGTTTTGTGTGTAAAAACGTGGATTCGATGTATCGGTTCTCGCAAGGAGCGCCCTGCGAGTTACAAATGTTTGTAAACGAGGATGGTAAATACGAAGACTGTGAAATCGACCACATGGTTTCTAATCAAACTATATGGGTACGATTGACAAAGGCGCGCGTATGGTTATTCTCAAACTTGAAAGAGGAAACTTTGCGGGTTACGTGCGAAAATAAGTCGGAAAGAATGGAAGTCATATCCGGAGTCGGAGAAATAGAGCTGCCAGAGCAATGCGAGCTGACCACAGCGAGTATCATAGTACGAACTAATCAAGTAGTTAAGGGCGTGGGAATAAATACGTTCTTACCGTGTTTTAATATCACGGCACCGAGAAAAAGGGAACATGTAAATAATAACGGCTTGGAACTCGAAAGTGTAACGCGGAACTCGGTGCAGTTGCGATCATTAGAAGAGCAGTTGACACGACTTGCGAAAAAAAGTGATCTTGTAGATTACACATTTTATAAGCAGCCGCACTTTATTATCCCGACTTCGGTNGGCGTAACCTTGATTATTGTAATAATCGCGAGTTTGTGTTTTTGGCTGCATAGGAGAAAATTCCACGCGAGAAAAGAAATGTTCAGTCTTCGAGATCTGAAGCCAAGTACTAGACAGATCGGGCACGCAGTACCCGAATTTTAGTGTAGTAAGCGGAAAATAGCGGTACATTTTCCTTCTTTCAAGAAGGGGGGAAATGTTGTGAAATTTAGTTGTAGTTTCGTTCGGGTCATTGAGCAATTGCGGTAAGAACGCATCATTGCTCAATCGACCCGGTTTTGTTTCAAAAGGGTAACAAGCAGCATTTCTTTGTAAATGAAATCTGCATGTTAATCGTAATGTTAAGTACGGTACAGACACAGCACACAACGTCAGCGGCCTACGTGCAGTAGTAATTAGGTCGCTAAACTGCTGCGTGATCGCGATCGATTCCTTTAAAAGATCGATCGCGAGCAACACAGACAGATCGTGAGTAGCTGTTGAATACTGTGTGGCTCTAAGTCCATCCGGAGAGTTTTTTGCAGTATAGCAACGGCTAAGTGTCAATATAAGCGTGCGTAATTGTACAGTAATTTGTAAACTTGGTAGTAATAAACTACGCCAGTTTTTTATAAAAGAATCTTATTCATCACCAAGTCCTTTATCTTCCCGATCTCAACAAAAGTCAAATTAGATATCATAGACACTTCATCAATTATAATCAGAATAACATCTTCGAGATCTGCTCGTAAAACTTTTAATACATGATCAGATAATTGTTTCTATTTAGGAATAAAACCGTGTTCAACAGGCAATTGAAGTAGTCTATGAACTGTCAAACCGTCTACGTTAAACGCTGCAATACCAGTAGGAGCTGCTATAGCAGTATTTTTCTTAAGATTTTGTTTTATCCAGCATTTAATAGTTGTAATTAAGAAACTTTTTCCTGTACCACCNTCTCCGCTAACGTATAATCGTAATGGTGATTTATCAGATTGTAAAGTTGTAATGACTGTATCAAACACACGTTTTTGATCTAGATTTAATTTTGCTATCATATCACATACATCAACATCTTTATCTATTTTCTCACCAAGATCTTTGAAATCTTGCATTGCTTCACCAGCTTCTATATTTTGAATACCTATTGGATTTTCTGGAACATCTTGCCAAATATTCTGTTTGTTTAAGTCGTCGTCTAGATATTTCTGAACCAACTGTTTTGCAGTTTCAAACGCTTTTTGCAATTCTTCTATTTTTTCATCATATTGTAATGCTTCTAGAAGATGTAATTTTATTTTGTGAAATGATTCTGTATAATTATCACATCCGTTTCTAAGATCTTCTAATGTTCGCCATGGTTTAAACATGAGTAATAATGAAAAGAAATAAGTATCTGGTTGTGTATTCACATCGTATTTATAATGATTAATAAGATATTCACGTTTCCGTCCTTTAATATATAGACCATTATCTATTTTGTAATATACGACATACTTACTTTTTGGTTTAATCTTCGTGATATCATACCATTCTGCAAATTCATAAAAAGACACATCTTTTAATTCTTTCGGTCTTATTGGATAATAAGTATTTATCAATGACGGACAAACTATGTCTGTAGATTCTTTATCCTTCTCTTTAAAACTTGTTTTACAAAATAAAAAAAGTGTGATATCTTGAAAACCTTACCTTTTCAAAAAAAAGGTAAAAAAGGCGCCAAGTACACGCACAACACGTATTGTATTTATAAATTGACTTACAGTAAAAATCTTAACTCTCAAACTGCTTTTCATTATTTATACAAGTTTTAGTTTACCAAACCTGATTTATAAAACAGTGATATCAAAAAGTAGCATTAAGTAAACTGTTATATGTACATTACTACATTATTGGGAAACAATATAAAACAATAGGAAAAATAAAATAATTTTACCATATACAACAAAAAATTCTTTTTCTACAAAAAACATTTACAAAAAAGATGATATCAAAAAATAGCACCAAGTAAACTTTTGTATACGTTATTACATTATTGGAAAACAATAATAAACCTATGTAAATATTATCAATCACGTTTTATATTCAAAGTACAATACTCCGTGTTATGAATCTCACTATGCCTGAAACGTCAAAACTTAATGTGAAACTGTACAAAATCTTACTTTACATTCTAAGCAATCTGGATAAACTTCGTCTGTCGTGAAAACTCGAAATCCAAAAGAAGTTGTGATTCTTATTCCAAAACACCCTATTGTGCATAGCTATCTACTTCGAAACGTTTCTATCACGGAAAACAGTTGTGTACAGCAAAGAAAGAATTTGGTGGGTCTATGTTTTTTTTACATCAACAAAACAATTTGTTGATGTGAAAAACAGAAACTAACAAGTAGATTCAGCGAAACTTTATTTTCCGTGATTATTTATGTTAGAGAAATATGTTAGAGAAACTAACAAGTTGATTCAGCAAAACTTTATTTTCCGTGATTATTTAAATAACTATGTACTTTGATAAGTTTTCATCACGGCAAACATGTTGAGAGAAAGAATTTTCTGAGCCTGATAAATTTTTGTTCCATTAACAAACACTTTTTTAGTTAAACTAACAAGTAGACTCAGCAAAACTAGTTTCTGTGAAAAACAAAAAAAAAAGAAAAAGTTTTTTCTAAATAAAAAATATTTAATGCAAAAAAACTTGGCGCGGCTGCACCTCAAATATAATGAAGTGAGAGTTTTATATGCACGGCAGTCTGATGTAATAATGTAATAATTAATAACTCAGTTGTTTTTGTTTGAAACACTTTTTTTTTAAACCACAAATGTTGTACTTTCAAACTACAAATGCACTAATTTTAAACCACAGTTTGTAATTCTCGAAATTAATTACTATTAATAATAATTAACGTCATTTGTACTGACTTAAAGTGTATAACAGTGACATCGAAAAAAAATATTTATACTTTTCCTAAGACGCTGATTGGCTTATTTGTGATATTTGTGATATTCAAAGATACGTATGTGAAAGTTTTGAACGATTCGAAAATANGTATGTGAAATATATGAAAANTAATTGTAAATAGCTGTAAATAGCTCGCGCGTACACAGGACATGTCTATCTGCAGTTTGGAAATAGCTTGCACGCACACGTAAGACATGTCTATCTGTAGATAAATTTTTGGTGCAGCCGCGCCAAGTTTTTTTGCATTAAATATTTTTTATTTTAAAAAAACTTTTTCTTTTTTTTTGTTTTTCACAAAAAATAGTTTTGCTGAGTCTACTTGTTAGTTTAACTAAAAAATTGTTTGTTAATGTAACAAAAATTTATTAGGCCCAGAAAATTCTTTCTCTCAACATGTTTGCCGTGATGAAAACTTATCAAAGTACATAGTTATTTAAATAATCACGGAAAATAAAGTTTTGCTGAATCTACTTGTTAGTTTCTCTAACATATTTCTCTAACATAAATAATCACAAAAAATAAAGTTTTGCTGAATCTATTTGTTAGTTTCTTTTTTTTACATCAACAAATCGTTTTGTTAATGTAAAAAAAATGTAGACCCAACAAATTCTTTCTTTGCTGTACAAAACTGTTTTCCGTGATAGAAACGTTTCGAAGTAGATAGCTATGTACCATAGGGTGTTTTGGAATAAAAATCACAACTTCTTATAGATTTTGAATTTTCACGACAGACGAAGTTTATCCTGATTGCTTAGAATGTGAAGTAAGATTTTGTACAGTTTCACATTAAGTTTTGACGTTTCAGGCATAGTGAGATTCATAACACGGAGTATTGTACTTTAAATATAAAACATGATCTATAAATTCTACATAAGTTTATTATTGTTTTCCAATAATGTAATAACGCATACAAAAGTTTATTTGGTGCTATTTTTTGATATCATCTTTTTTGTAAATATTTTTTGTAGAGAATGAAGTTTTTGTAGTATATGGTAAAATTATTTCATATTTCCTATTGTTTTATATTGTTTCNCAATAATGTAGTAATGTACATATAACAGTTTACTTAATGCTACTTTTTGATATCACTGTTTTATAAATCAGGTTTGGTAAACTAAAACTTGTATAAATAATGAAAAGAAGTTTGAGAGTTAAGATTTTTACTGTAAGTCAATTTATAAAGACAATACGTGGTGTGCGTGTACTTGGCGCCTTTTTTACCTTTTTTTGAAAAGGTAAGTTCTGCAAAATATCACACATTTTCTATTTTGTAAACCAAGTTTTATAGAGAAAGAAGTTTTTGTAGTATGTAAAAAATAACGTACAAAAGTTTACTTAGCACTACTTTTTGATATCACTTCTTTTGTAATGTAATAAACTACAATAAATTGTTTTTGTTTAACTAAGTCTTGTACAAATAATGAATGGCAGTAATAATTTTAGAATAAATTAAATTTTTTATGTATAACTAAAATTATTTAAATCAATTTGTAATCATTAATTTAAATATACAATACGTGTTGTGCGTGTACTTGGCGCCTGTTTTTACTTTTTTTTGACAAGGTACCTTTTTCGAGAATAGTAAACTAAAATAAATGTCTAACGTATACATAAGTATACTCGGTTATATATGCGTGCGTGTGAGATAGATGATGCACTATTTTTTTTCTCTTTTAATTCTTTATTTTCCATTATTTCTTTATTCTGTTTTTTCTTTTCTCAACAATAGTAACATATTTATTTATTTATTTTTCCCAAGAAAAGAATATAAACATTTGTAGCATTTTTTGGCCAATGGTGTTTTCTAATTTGCATATCATCAATTCCAAGCCAGCTAGATTTTCCTTCTCTACACATACTTGTATAATAATTGTGTTCAATACACAGTCCATTATTAAATATGGCATTCATTACTTTATATAGCTGTCCACTTATTGACACTTTAGTTGTTGGTACAGCACGTATATTTAGTTTGTTTGCTGGTATTACTTTACCATCTTTTGAAAATAATAGAAAATGNATGATAAGTATTTCTTTTGTCATTGTTAATTCTCTTTTAAATATCTTATCAATCTTTTTACAAGTGTTACATAATTCGTTAATGGATTCACACTAATGAGAAAAGTTAACACTTAATAAATCGTTACGATCATAACTCTTTTTCTTCAAATTAATGAAGGAATTGAGATTAAAGTATTATTTGATATAACTGTATTTGTATATTCACAATTTTTGCATCGTGTAGTGGAAGTCACTTCATGCTCGACTACATTTTTTATAAAATCAAATTTTGTGCAAAGAGTCAAAAGAAATTCAGATGCATCACGCTTTACATTATTTGAAAAGTTATCTCCTAGATATTGTCGTATTCTATATGTATTTAAGTTAGGCATTCCATTTTCATATTGATGCATTAATACAAATAAAAATTTTTTTTTATCAGAAGTAAATATTTGTTTTCTAATGATACTTAAGTGCAAAAGACATTGCAATATTGCATTTGCAGAAGATGAAACTTTATCTGTGTTCTGGAAACCACGAATAATCCAACCAGTACTTTTCTGAACATTTTGATACGGTTCTTGTGGTTCTTGTACAGAAGCTATTACTTTTGATGCAGTCCATGAATTATTATCTTTAACCTTACGAAGTTTTTGTTTTGAGACACTAATCCTTTGTGCTTTAGGTTTATGTAATTTTTTTACCTTATTGTACTCAATAATAGCTTCTTAACTAGCTTTTACAGATGAAGGATCATAATTAATTAAATACAGTCCTTCTAAAGACGTTACTCCAGACAATGCAACATAAATTTGACCACAACTGAATACAGAATTACCTACATCCATAATAGCATTCTGCAAACTTAATCCTTGGCTTTTGTGGATAGTGATTCCATAACTCAGACACAATGGAAATTGTTTTNTAGTAACATATATTCTCTCCATGATGGGAAATTTGACACATACTCTCTCAATTAAAAATTCTTTACCTGACGGCAAAAGAAGATTTATTTTTTCTATATTATTATTCCATACATCTTTAACAACGGAAATCACTTTACCTATTGTACCGTTTACAAGGCCTTTGCTAGCATCGATGTTACGTCTTATCATAACTTTTGCCCCAATTTTAATTATACTTTTTTTCGAAAGTCCAGCTGTTCTTGAATTATCATCTTCATGATTTGACAATGTTTTTACAATTTTCTTTAATACATAGCGATTACAAGTTATTTTATCTTCTGCAATTAATACTATTTCTTCAGAAGTAATTCGATTTAGCATTGCCGCATTAAGAACGTCACACATGTGACAAGTAGGCAATAAACATACGGTATCCGACGGCAACTCATTAATAAAATTACATAATTCGTTCAATCTACATTCCATAGATACACCTTTAAAGGAT